GGGGACGAGGGGCGAGCGCCGGGCACAGCGCCACCCTGGCTGGCTCCAGCAGAGCCCGGTCTCCCTTCATTCTGTGCGGTTTGTCCAGCAGAAAATTCTAAACCTGTATCTTTTAAAAGCATTTATTTGGCTCCGCGCGTCTTCCTCGCATCCTTTTTAGTTGGGAGTTTGCGGAGGGCAGAGGGAGGGAGAAGGAACGCCTGTTCTGATCGACAAACACCGAGAGACCAGAGCATCTCTTTCAGCGGCAAGGAAGAGAAGCTGTCGCAGGATCCACACACATCTACAACTCTCTGTTGCTTTTTGTGCAATACCTAACTCTGCCTGACGTCCATCCAAGCGGGCAGGCATGGGGTGTCTGGGCAACAGCAAGACGGCAGAAGACCAGGGCGTCGATGAAAAAGAACGACGCGAGGCCAACAAGAAGATCGAGAAGCAGTTGCAGAAGGAGCGTCTGGCTTACAAAGCGACTCACCGCCTGCTGCTACTGGGTAAGGCCGGAGGGCGCGCGGCGGCTCCCGGCCCGAGCGGAGCGCACAGCCCCGAGCGCAGCGAGCGCGGGGGCCCGGCGGGCAGGGCAGGGCCGGGCGGGGGCCGCGCTCACCGCCGCCAGCCACCGGGACCCGCTCCTCCAGTCGCGAGCTGGAGTGTACTGGAAAATGCCTACGCTGGGGTAGGTATTGGGCCACGGACCACAACATTCTTTTTATTTGTTTGCAGGGGCTGGTGAGTCTGGGAAGAGCACTATCGTCAAACAAATGAGGATCCTGCATGTCAATGGATTTAATCCTGAGTAAGGAATGATCAATTTCGCTTTTGCTTCCAAACTGCATGCAAACTTTTTCACTTCTCTCCAGCATTTCCAAACGTGCTTTCTCTGAATAATTAATTTGATCATTGAATAGACCTTTGCGGGGGGGGGGGTAGTGAGATAAAAGCGTGTTATTGAATTTGGTATATTTAGGCAAATTCTTCTTTTGGTAGCATCTAGATGAAAAAATAAAATAACTTCCCTAACAAAATAGGATTTATTAGATATTCTTGCGATATTGGTCTGTGTTATCGGTACTGCACTTAGCACACTTAACCAATATGTCAGTATATACTTATCTCTATATCCTTGGTCTGCCTCTATTTCAATTCATATCTATCAACATATGGATAAGTCAAGTAAGATATATTTACAAGTGTAGCTGTATAGTTTTTATATGCAATACTCCTAACAACGTTGTCATGCTTTGTGTAACCTGTGTAGTTTAAAACTACACATTGTAATGTGTGCATTCAAGTTTGCTTAATGTACAAATTAGAAAAATAAGTATGTTTTCCTTTCCCAGTTAAAAACTTTGCAACTGTTGTCTTGGGGGTTGATGTTGACCTCTAGAAAAACCAGTCTAGCCCCATGCTGCAGCTGGAAGTTTAAAATCCCATTCAGCTTATTCAAGTCATTTCTAACGATAAATTAAATTAATAACAATTCTCTTTTAATATAGGGAAAAGAAACAGAAAATTCTGGACATCCGGAAAAATGTTAAAGATGCTATTGTGGTAAGGATTTTTTTAAATGTTTGGTTAATAGAAAGGTTAAATACTCTGCTCTCTAAAACTGTATAGACAGAAATTGTGTATTTTAGTTGTCATAAGAGGAACCTAAATGTTGTATTTATCCATATATCTTTTTCTTCATTCCATTTTAGACAATTGTTTCAGCGATGAGTACTATCATACCTCCAGTTCCACTGGCCAACCCAGAAAACCAATTTCGATCAGACTATATCAAGAGTATAGCTCCTATCACCGACTTTGAATATTCCCAGGTAAGTAAATCCTTCTTGAAATATTTTAAATGGTGGAAGAGAGAACCATTTTTAATGAGATTGCTTGAGAATCAATGTTAGTATTATTTTATCTTTGACTCTCTTCAAAATCTAGCTCTCTGCCTGAGAGAAATGCTTTTTCCTTCATACCAAAATATTAACATTGGTTAAAAATGTTAAAGACAATAGGATTTTAAGAAATGCTTTTATGAATGTATTGGTGAGATTGGTAATCAGGAAAATAGCCTACCTTTAGGAAATATTGATAGTACTTTTTCCTATATGTATTTCTAAATTAACAATTAAGCAGTTTCCCAGATAACAAAAGAATAGAAATGACATAAGCAGAGAGAAATATTTATGGTAAGTGACTGCTCCCGGGGGAATAGTAGAACAGAATTCAGTTCACTCTTAAGATGTGCATCCTGTAGCTCAAATGAGAAGAGAATGCATGCTGTAAATAACATGGATCACTTCTGAATGTTTATTCTATGATGGGAAAAAAACGTAGTTTGCTTCACATCTGCAGTATTTATGGCCACTTTCCTAATTCCTTGGGTAGCAGTATTGCTTATGTGAAAGGGTAAAATGAATAGTAATTTTTTCTTGTTTGGTAGATATACATTTCTTTAAAGCATTGTTATTTGGTCATTTGATTAAGCATGTGTCAAAGGAAAATATATTTGTTAGATTTCTCAGAAAGTCATTTTTCTTACAGTTGTACCAAAAGAGCGTGTGTGTGTGTGTGTGTGTGTGTGTGTACGTATACCAACAGTAACAGAATTTTAAAGATTTCGTTACCTGGCACAGTGCTCTTAAGACGTTTTTCTTTCTCACAATCCCCTCTTCGAAAGGAAGGTGATACAGAAGGCAGTGTGTGTAAAATAGACAGGTCCTGTCCTGCTCTGACTGAAGTCTGGGCCAGTGTGCACCTGCTCACCCCTACCCTGACTCTGCAGCAGAGCACCCTTGTTGTGGAAGCTTTGTAGCAGGATGGCAGATAAGAATGACCCTCTTTGAAAGCTTTTATTTGCATCCTTTCCTGTAATTTTTGCATCTGATAAGCATTCCAGTGTAGCCCCTGAGAGCTCTAGAATTTCTAACAGGACGGAGTTAGAGGTGGCAAACTGGCTAGAAAAGGGGGCTGGGGTGTCTGGCACAGCAGGCACGCTTTTTTACTGAATTGTGTCTTTAACTGGATGGCTTGGAGGGGGTAAAGGAGATGATAGGGCGGGGGTGTAGGGGGTAGGACTAGAGCAGTGATTCAGCCAGCTACAGCTATAGGATGTCCCCCAGTACTGTGTGACATTGTACATATGGAAGAAGTCACCCCAAACTACAAGGTCCTAGCTCAAATCAGGGGTGGCATTCCCATTCAACTTTATTTTTTTTTTGAAGATTTTATTTATTTATTTGACAGATAGAGACAGCCAGAGCAGGAACACAAGCAGGGGGAGTGGGAGAGGGAGAAGCAGGCTTCCCACCGAGCAGGGAGCTGGATGAGGGGCCCCAATCCCAGGACCCTGGGATCACGACCTGAGCCGAAGGCAGATGCTTAAGGACTGAGCCACCCAGGCGCCCCCCCATTCAACTTTAGATTTACATATGTAGAGACACATACTTAGATTCTCAAATTTGTCCTGTCATAATTGCCTGAAAGTAATCATAAAACATCTCATATATGGTTCTGATTTAGGGGAAAAAGTTATTCCTGCCATGTAATGAGAAATTAGAATTGAGATGTGTTCATCACAAATCTTCTCTCTTCATATGATAGACTCACACACGATGAGGGATTTCATACTCAACCCCAAGTTCAGAAACAATCAGTCATTCCCAGGTGGATTCTAAAGGATCTAAAGCACCTAACTTGTGAAAGTGTTTTTTGAGCTAAATCATGAATATTTTTTTTTATAAAAGATTTTATTTATTTATTTGACAGAGACACAGCGAGAGAGGGAACACAAGCAGGGGGAATGGGAGAGGGAGAAGCAGGCTTCCCGCTGAGCAGGGAGCC